TCGGTTTCCCGCACGCACACCAGCGTTGTCGACCACGTTAAGTCAATTTTGGCTTTTATGGAGTCCGTAGATATGAATCTCCCCATGCATCTTAGACCCTAAGGTCCAGTATGAGCGGAGCGCTCTTATGGGCAGCGAGGAGCTTCCCCGCATTCTCGAGCACTGGTACAAGGTCCCTCGCGCATCCTCCTCACGACACCATCATGTACGGCCCCAGGGCGCTAGGAAGGCTCTCGAGGAGTTTGCCCTGGAGTGCGTGGAGGAGATTGTTGACCGAGAGCTCGAGCCATTGTGCACAGTACAGGAGGTATGCAAGCTTGTAACTAGGACAGCGTGCAGCCGCGAGGGCGCCCTCCGACTTTGTCGGATTACCTTAACGGGGCGTCGGTATGTCACACAGGTCACCGAGCGGGGAGTCACGGGGGTGGATCCACCAGACGTTCAGGAGCGCGGAAAGTCCCGGTTTTTTCATTTCCGCTCAAAGCTCCGAACGTCTGGTCACGAGACTAGAGCGGCCCTAATTTTGGCATCTGATTTTCAGGCTGCAAGATCAGTCGCGCTCATGGAAATGATGTCAGAGTTCAAACATCAAGATCAATGTTGAAGCTCCCTGCAAGCGGCGAAGCGCCATGCGTCACGGTTGACTGAGTGATTGCCGAGGAGCAGTTCCTGGCTCTCGTGGTCCCAACACGCATGCCCGCTCGTCCATCCAAGCACACTCCGGACGGAGGTTGGAATGCTGTTTTCAAGTCGTCACTAACCGCATCCGGGCATGCCAGCGCTGTCTTTAACTATACGGGCAGTACAAGCCTCGTGTCACTAGTACTCCCAACCTAGAGCCTTCGTGAAAGTATCGCGGCTCGGCCCATGTAACGGTCTGGCTGCCGGAATCAGCTCTGGTGTCGACTGGACCAAAAGGCCGCAACATTGTCGAGCTTGGCTTGGTACTTTACAACCCGCCCTTGAAATAGATCTTGCTGTAGTGTTATGTCCAAGCCCATGGCTCCAGTACGCAGCAACCATAACTCCAGGCTAACTGCTATCCGTTGAGATCCTACGAGGTTGTATCTTCGTGCGTACTTCGCTGCCGCTTCCCCCAGTTGTCGTAGACTGGCTCCGAAATACATGAATAGCACTTCATCGGCGAAACTTCTACAAGTCACGAGTGGAGCCTCCAGACAAGCCAGCCACGTAGCTCTCTTCAATTGTGACGCTCTGGGGAGGGAGGCCTTCAATCGTCCCCGATATTGATGCGCTCCTCTCTGCCATCAGCGAATATATTCCTGCTCCGCACGCCTATCAGGTGCTTGCCGGAGACATCACAGCTGCTCTCGGCCCTCGCCAGTGGGGCATGAGACCTTGCATCGCGGCTTTATAAGGAGAGGCGAGTGGCATCACCGACTGCCCCCTTAGCCTCAGTATCACGACAACTCTGGACCAGGAAACGCCATGGCGGCAAGCAAGCTCCTCCTCTTCGTCCAGTTCATCGCCATCGCGACCATCGCGAGCTGCGTCTCCGTCACCGACAAGCGAGCGACCGGCGGCTACGTTCAAAACCCCTCTGGCAGCGCCTCCTTCACGCACTACTCCGGGTGCTCCCAGCCAGGTGCACTTCGCCCCGTTTAGCTAGTACGCAGTTCTGTCCGTGCTGACACAGCCAACAGCTTGCGGAATCGCGGCGAGCGGCTACACCGCAGCGGTGAACCAGCTCACGTTCGGGTCGGCACCGGGACTGGGGCCTGGGGACGCGTGCGGCCGCTGCTTCTCCCTCACGGCGAACGCAGACCCGTACTCGCCCGCGTACACGGGCCCGTTCCACACCATCATTGTCAAGGTCACCGACCTCTGCCCCGTCTCGGGCAACCAGGAGTGGTGCGGTCAGTCACAGAGCAACCAGAAGAACCAGCACAACGAGCCCGTCCAGTACGTCTCGGCTTGCCGTGCTCGTCTTTCTCGGAGTTTCTCGGGACTCACCTCGATTTCCCCATGTAGCTTCGACATCTGCGAGGACACCGGAGGCGCGAACGCGTTCTTCCCCTCTGGCCACGGCGCGCTCACGGGAACGTTTACGGAAGTGTCGTGCAGCCAGTGGTCCGGGTCAGATGGTGGCTCGCTTTGGAACGGCTCGTGCATCAAGGGCGAATCTGCCGGACTTTGGCCGTCGGTCGGCTGCGGAAACCAGGGTGAGCATTGAACAAAGTCCAAAGAAGTAGCGAGATTTACATCGTCCTTCTTCCAGGTACTGCCCCTTGAGCGATTGGATATTCGACGGGACTCTTGCTGTCCTCCACGGGAATTTCAGTCAGTTTTCACAGCATGCGTCGGCCATCTGCGAGACGTGACTACGACTGGAAAATATTCGGCGAGTTGAACCAATCATCTGCAGCCCTCGACATCGCATAAGTACTTGTGTCTGGCCCGCAGGGCACGTGAGCAACCATCACAAACGCCACGGGAAGCATTTGAAATTATATAAGAACAGAACGAGCATCCACCGCGTCTGGGTCTACAGTGAATCCTTGTCGTACCCCAAGCCAGACTTCTTTTGCAAGATAGTATCGTTAGATCTTACCCGCTGCAACTATAGCCCACTCGCCACCAAAACCTCCTCGATGCTCTTCACGAAGAGATCCACGATCGTCTCCACCTCTTGTCTTGTCACGTTGTAAGCCGGCGAAAGCATGTTATGGTTGCCCTTCGTGCCCTCGACATTCGACCCGCCCGTGAAGCCCATGATGACCAGTCCGTTTTTCAGAGCACGAGACTGAACGTCCAGTGCGAACGTCCCCGGCACGCTGAACTCCCACTCGACCGCCCACCACCCGCCCCCTCCGCGGATGTCGAACACGTACTGCGCAGCCCGCGCGTTTGGGCCAGTGAGGCGCGTTCGGAGGAGCTCGCCGAGGTGCGCGCCCTGCGTTAGGATGTTCTCGAGGAGATTCTCCTCGACGATCACCTTCTGCACGGCGAGCGCGCCCGCGCAGGCGATGGGGTGCGCCTGGTAGGTGTGGCCGTGCTTCCAGAAGCCGGCGTTGTCTCGGACGCCGTCGGCGACTCGTTGGGACATGAGGACCGCGCCGATCGAGACGTACCTAGGCGTGAGGGACAACGTCAGTATGCATTCATACCGCGGAGCGGATGAGCGCTGCGACGAGGCGGAATGTACGTACCCGCCCCCGAGGCCCTTCGCGACTGCTTGAAGATCGGGAGATGCGCCATCGCCGTAGCTCTCCCACGCGTGGAGAGTGCCCATGCCTGAATCGCCTTATTGTGAACAATCACGCCGAAACGAAACAAGGAGGCGGACGCACGACCCATGCCGCTCATAACCTCGTCGAGGATGAAAAGCGCGCCGTACTTCTCGCAAACCGACTTCATAGCCATAAAGTAACCCTTCGGTGCCGCTACGACACCAGTGGTCGCACCGACCACGGTCTCTGCGACGACTGCAAGTTCGCCAGTCAGCCTGCATACGCGCATACATCCGCCTCAAAGTGCCGCCTCTTACATCCAATGACCGTATTCGGCCCCAGCTCCAAGAACTTATCCTCCAGCTCCTTCCGCAGCCTCTCCACGTACGCGTCCTCGCTCTCCCCCGCTCCCTTGAACCGCGCGGCGTACGCTGGCGAGACGTGATGATATGACCTCTCATCGAGGAGCGACGCGTAGGGGGCGCGCCGCGCGGGATGGTAAGCGAGCGAGAGCGTGCCGACCGTGTTGCCGTGGAAGGAGAGCTTGCGCGCGATGAAGTTCGTGCGCTGGTGCTGGCCCGTCTCGTAGAAGTACTGGCGTGCGGTCTTGATCACGCCCTCCATCGCCTCGGAGCCTGGCGTGGACGCGCGTATGATGCATTAGGGGCCAGAGCGTCCATTGCGATGGGGTGGGGATGGCATAAGATGCGAGAGACGTACCTCCCGAGACGAATCCAACCGCGCCGAACGCGCCGTTGCTGCTCGCGACGAGGTAATGCGCGAGCTCCTCCGCGGGCTCGTTCGAGAGTTGCATGTTGTACACATCTGTGCCGATCCGAGTTCAGTGAGCATCGCATCGTCGCATGCGCGGCCGAGGTCAACCCAGGCGCAAAGCAACACTCACAAGAGATCTTCTCGACCTGATCCTTGATGGCCTGCTTCACCTTCGGGTGCCCGTTGCCAATGCACGTCACCGCGGCACCGCCGACGGCGTCGATGAGCTTCGTGCCGTCCTCGAGGGTGATGTAGATGCCCTCCGCGGAGGAGGCGACGGGCGGGCGCCAGGGCGTGCGGTGCAGGATCGCGGTGGGTCGCGAGGCGTATTTCGCGTCTCCGTTCGTAGCAGTAGACATCGTTTTCGTGAAGTTGCGTCAGATGGACGTGGACGGATGCGAGCGGCTTGGGCGGTTTTGCTGCGTGGGCCGGTCAGTACAGGACGCTTGTCGATCAGGGGCTTATAGTGCGATGGGGCGGCGTGCCGCGTGTGCGGAGTCCCGTCAGAGCCTCGCTCGTGCACGCAATCGCGCTCCAGAGCGGCTCAGGATATTTGCAGTGAAACGAAGAGAGAGAAGATGCATCCCGTCGCATGGCGAAGGAAGAGACGAAGACGCTTTGCGTACCACATGCGCTTCAGATTGTCGCATCCACTGACGTACAGATTGAAAGAACAGACTCGATGCTCACATACTACAGATGACTGGCAAATTCCCCTGCAAGTTATCGCCGGGCGGTAGGATGACGGCGCGAAGATTGAAAGATACTGAGGTGACTCACTGGCACTTGACTCGACCTCAGCTTCGCGCACGCGATAACCTCAGCGCTCAAAAGAAAACTTCGGCCCTTCATAAGTCACAAAGCATGGCTCGAACCTGAAATCTGACACACGAGAATAGCAGGCAACGCATGGTTGGGTAAAAGTTGGTAAGAGAACACCGCGCGTGGGACTGTTAGAAATCGCGTCGATGGCCTAGGTGCACTGCGTCGTCGGGGAATTTACTCGTGTCTTCATAAGTGCATGAACTCGGGTGTCTCAGCAAGTCACGAACCACGCACATTGCAGGATATACAGTACTTGGAAGACTACCTCAGAATGCATAGGATCGGTACCCCCATTTCCGTATGCATTATGGGACATTATGCATTATCAGACGGCCTGTCGAGTGGGAGCGCTGGTTTGGTACCCGTCCGGGGCCTCTGCGGCGATATGCATTATCAGATATGACCTCATGCAGTATGAGGTAGTCTACTGTAAGTATATTCAGTCGAAGCGTATGCGGGGTCACTGAACGCTGTGACTGGAGATAAAGAGATGCGTGTGCGACGCCGTACTGAATTGATCGAGAGATATGACGTAGCTGCTAGTCACCGCGGTCCCGAAACTGCGGCCTTGATGTACAGTTGTACAGACTACAAATACAGCTGATGTAAAAACCAGCGTCGCGTTTCCCCCAGGCCTCCCTGTGCTCGGATCAGCGGCGGCCTCCTGCCGAGCCCCGCAAGCAAGCGCTCCGGCCACCTCCCAGTCGGGGGACAAGCTCGTCGTGACTGCGCGAAGTGTGCCCCGCCTCATGCTACGTGGCTTTCAGAGCTACAGGACACACAATACTCTGCGTGGAATGCTTCCCGCGAAGATCCCCGCTGTGTGCAGGTGCTTCCAGCAGTGCACCACAGTCGGGCAATGTCCGCGGTATGGTATAGCTGGCGCTCGGCCGGGGTTATCCGGTGATCCGAGCATATCCCTGGGCGCGGGGACTGCGACGCTGGTTTTTACATCAGCTGTAGTCTCGTGACCAGACGTTCGGAGCTCCAAGCGGGAACGAAAAATCGGAGGTTCCCGAGCACCTTAACGTCTGGTGGCTTCACCCCCGTGACTCCCCCATCGGTGACAGGCCGTGACGTCTCCTGCTTGCCTTCTACCGTCACTAAGCTTCCTGTCCTCCAGCGCTTATGGATCCCCGAGGCGCCGAAGAAGACATCGAGGCGCACCCCAGCGGTTGGGGAGCCCTCTTCGACGACGACGACGACGACGCCGACTATGCGCCATCCGACTGCGACAGCGACCGGCTCTCCGACGTCTCTGAATGGGACCCGGTCGAAGCGGCACTCGAGGATCCCGCCCCACCCATATACCTATACAACACCCAATCGATGCGCGGGCGCTTATCGCGCTCGATTTCCGTTTCCGGCCGCACCGTTGTCGACCGCGTTAAGTCCATCCTGGCCTATATGGACTCAGTCGACATGAACCTCCCCTCTTCCT